TCAAGAATATATTCTATAATAAATATATACCCATATTATTAATAAATTATTATTTTATTTAAAAAATACTAAATATACTTTAATTTTCTAGGCAAATTTGTCTGGATTACAGTTTAAGGAATATCAAGTAATTATTTATTTGATAAGTAATAGGTAGTAAAGCCATTTACATAATAATATTTTAATTTGGTATTTACTTTAAATAATGGGTAGTTATAGTCACTATAGTACAAAATTTTATGCAATATGATTATATAAGCCATCGATTATTTAATTAGTACAGATCAGCTGATTGGTGCATATTGTCATATTACATAGTACATACATATGTACGTACGTTAAAGACAGTCACAACAATATTAGTATTCCTAATGCCAATGATCAATATAGTACACGTATGAAGAAATAAATAACTAATAAGTAATGAATAGTATGTTGTTTATAGTAAACATTTTTTTAATGATTTTTTTTAGGCTTACTTATTAATAAAGATAACCAAGATGATATATATATGATTGATCTTTTAGAGAATATACAAATAATTGAAGAAAATAGTTCTTTTGTTTCTATAAACGAAGTGGTGGAATCTGAATCTAGTATTCAAATTTATATTGGTAATACTTTTTTATCATAGAATAAAGCAGAACTAAAGCTAAATCAGTATACAAGGTCAACTGGATTTCCTATTCATTGAAAGAGAGTTGAAACTGATAGTGATAGAATTATTAGATATTGAATATTCAAATGCAGCTTTGCTGGTAAATTAGTTTCCAATCAAGTGATTGATACAACCAAGCAATGTCAGCGAACATCTTGAAAAATTATGTGTTCATAGCATATAAATCTTTCAAATCCTAAATCTTTATCAGGAGTAAGAATTACAAGCATCTGTGGAAAGCATACTCATTCAATGATACAGGATTTACATGTATTTGCTCCCAAATATTGCAGATTATCAAATGAAATGTTGGAAAGAATTAAATTTTATGTTACTAAGGGAAACATGAGGTTAAAACAAATTTATCATCTATTGATTGCAAGTTTCTTAGATCAAAATATTCACAAGAGAAATTTATACAATGCAGTCCAAAAAATTAGAGCACCACTAGTCCAATAAACTGGAGATGTCCAAAATATGATCAATAAGCTATTTTCTTTGAGAGACCAAGAATCTGGGTAGATTATTTATACAAAAATTGATCCACTTGATAATCATCTTGTAGGTCTATTTTGGATATCGCCTAGTCAGTATCAATGTCTTATGAGGTACAACAATATAATACAGATAGATAATACATGCCAAACCAACTAGTTTGACATGTATTTAACTTTATTAGTTGTAGTGGACAGTAATATTAGAAGTCAGATTGTCACCTAGTGCTTGTCAGAAGATGAAACTATTGAAAGTTTTGAATGATTTCTTAATTGTTTTCTTCAAACAACAGATAATATTTCACCTTCCTGTCTATTTTTAGATGCAAATCCAGCTTTAATAAATGCCATCTCATCAAGATTGTGTAATACTCATCATTTTTTGTATATTTTTCACATTAAAGAGAACTTATGAAAAAATTTAGCAGGTAAATTAAGGCAATACTATAAAATATTTTATAAAGAATTTTACTATGCCTGGAATAGTTTATTTGCAAAGAATTTTTAATGACATTGGGCATGATTAATCAAAAACTATCCTTCTGCTCAAGCATATCTTAATAATACTTTGTTCAATTGTTTTGAGATCTTTATGAAGTTGTGTTGCTTTGGGGTAAAAGTATAGAAAAAGTTTTTTATTATAATTTTCCTGTTGGGAATATGTTGGTATGCTGCATTAATAATGCAGGTTTGTATCTTATGCCATGTTTTTTTGAGAGATTCTGTTGTATCAATATTGGTAGGAACTTGATGTATATTCATATTTGAATTGATTTGATTTGTAAAGGATTTCCAATTTTCTTTGGACATTAATTTGTAGTTGAATACTCTTCTTTTATATTTGAATTTTTGGTTGATTCTAGAAAATGTAAAAGGGAATAACCAGATTGAAATTAGGATTTAATGATCACTATTTGTAGAAGATGATAAATTGTCTATTTCAAATTTGTGTAGATATGGTATTAGTGTATCATTAGCCTATATATAATCGATTCTAGTTTGATATTGGGTACTTTGCCAAGTATGCTATAAGTTGTTTGTATAATCAGCTAAGTTATACATATTAGTGCTATATAGGTAGTTGAGTAATTGAAATTTGGTAGCTGATGATACAGTTGTGTCAGTGTTTGCATTAAAGTTACCAAGAATTATTGGATATAGATTTAGTGTTATAGCTTGTTGTATCCATGTTATTACTTTGTTTTGTGTTAGTCTACGATCTGTTGTATTGGTTGAGAAGAGATAAATAGAGATAATTCTAAATTTGTAATTATTTTTAAAAAATAGATCTATTGCAATTGCACCTCCTAGGTGGTTGAGAATATTGTAGATATGAGATTAAAGTTGTTTTTAAATCATAATACATGTGACTTCTTTGGTGTCTGGTAAATTTGACCAGTAGTAGGAGTAGTGATCTGTGTTAAGGAATTTTGTATTCGTATTATTAGAAAATTTTGTTTCAGTGAGACTGACTATATGTAAGTCATGGTTTAGGCAGTAGGTTTCCAATAGAAGTTGTTTCTTTGGCATATTGTATTCTTGTATGTTGTGGGTAGCAATATTTAGATATAAAGAGAAGTTGGAGTTCTGTAGGTTCTTTGTAGATATAGTTTGGTTATTATAGTGATGGTGAATAGTGTTTTGAGTAGATGGGTAGGTTGGTTCTGTTTCATTGTCTAGAAATAAATTATTTTCAATGTTTGGTGTATTAAACAGATGAGTTAGAGAAGCAGAATATGTAGTAGTAT